CAGCCTCAACCTGCTGGGCTGAGGTGATCCTTCCGCCTCAGTCTTCCAAGTAGCAGGAACCATAGGCATGTGACACCATACCTGGCTGATTTTTTTGCCATGTTGCTCAGGCTAGTCTCGACCCCCTGAACTCAGTTAATCCTCTCGCCTCCACCTCTCAAAGTGCTGGGATTACGGGCGTGAGCAACCGTGCCCCGGCTTGTCTTTCTTTCTCTCTCTCCCCCCACCCCATCTCTCCTCCCACCCTCCTCCCTCTCTCCTCTCTCTCTCTTTCTGCGACAGGATCTTGCTCTGTTGCCCAGGCTGGAGTGTGTGATCATAGCTCATTGTAGCCTCAAACTCTTGGGCTCAACCAATCCTCCTGCCTCAGCCTCCCGAATAGCTGGGACTACAGATGTTTGCCACCATATCTGGCTAATATTTTTATTTTTCAGTGTAGAGACTAATGTTGCCCAGGCTGGTCTCAAACATCTGACCTCAAGCAATCCTCCCATCTCGATCTCCCAAAGTGCTGGTATTACAGGTGTGAGCCACCATACTCAGCCATAGTATACAAATACTAACAGCAGTTTTTGTTCCCTGTTTTCAGTACTTTTGCCAATTTTTTTTCCCTGGTCCTTCCTAACTAGAATGCCTGTTTTTAACAAAAACAAAAATATTTAGGGTGAAAGTTTGATCTATCACTTTATTAAAGTACATTCTAAAATGTATTAAAATTTTTTATTGATACATAACAATTGTACTTATTTATGGGGTACATGTAACATTTCGATACATGCATACAATGTACAATGATCTAATCAGGTTATTAGGATATCCATCATCCATCTCCTGAAACATTTATCTTTTTTGTGTTAGTAATATTTCAAATAGTCTCTTCTAGCTCTTTGGAAATATACAATACATTATTGTTAACTATAGTCACCCTGCTGTGGTTATGTGACTTATTCCTTCTACCTAGCTGTGTCTTTGTACCCATTAACCAACTCTCTTCCCCTGCCACCTTTACTCTTCCCAGCCTCTGGTTCCTGTCATTTTACTCTCTACCTCCATGAGATCAACCTTTTAAGCTGTCATATATTAGTGAGAACATTGGATATTTGTCTTTCTGTGCCTGGCTTATTTCCCTTAACATAATGAACTCCAGTTCCATCCATGTTGTTGCAGATGACAAGAATTCATTCTTTTTACAGCTGCATAGTCTTTCATTGTGTATACTATATATCACATTAAAAAAATTATTTTCAAGATGTGGGGTGCAATTCAGGGTTAAGTATACAAATGTTCACTATGCAGGTACCCTTGTTGATGAGGTATGCTCCCCCACGGCAGAATCCCACTACTGCCAATCCCGCCCCCTTCCTGACATTTTCTTTATCCACGTGTCTGTTGGTAGACACATAGATTTTGTGCTATTGTGAAAAATGCTACAATAAACATAAGGGTGTAGGTATCCTTTTGATATACGAATTTCCTTTCCTTTGGATAAATACCCAATAGTGGGATTGCTGGATTGTATAGTAGTTCTATTTTTAGTTTTTTGTGAAATCTCCATACTGTTTTCCATAATAGCTGTACTAACTTACATTTCCAACAGCAATGTGTAAGAAGAGTTTTCTTTTCTCTCATATGTGGGGTGAGGTGATATTTCATTGTGGTTTTTGATTTCCCTGATGACTAGTGATGTCATCATATACCTGTTGACCATTTGTATGTGTTCTTTTGACCCAAAGAATTTACAGATTAAATGTAATCCCTATCATAATACTAATGATATTCTTCACAAGAAAATAGAAAAAAAAACTCCTAAAATTTGTATAGAACCACTATAAAGACCTAGAACCATAAAATACCCACAAATAGCATCAACAATCCTGAGCAAAAAGAACAAAGCTGGAGGCATCATCTTACCTGACTTTTATTCAGATTCTGTACCTGCTTTTTAATGGTATTATTTGTTGTTTTGCTTTCAAGTTGTTTGAATTCCTTGCATATCCTTGCATATTAGTCTCTTGTTGGGATGAACAGTTTGCAAAAATTTTCTCCCATTCTGCAGGTTGCCTTTTTACTCTGTTGATGTTTCTTTTGCTTTGCAGAAACTTTGTAATTTAATATATTTTCATTTTTCTATTTTTGTTTTTGTGATCTGTGCTTTTGAGGTCTTATCCATAAAATATTTGCCCAGACCAATGTCCTGAAACATTTCCTCAGTGTTTTCTTTTAGTAGTTTTATAGTTTTGGGTCTTATATTAAGTCTTTCTTTAATCCATTTTGACTTGATTTTTGTATATGGTGAGAGATAGGAGTCTAGTTTCATTCTTTTTCATATGGGTATTCACTTTTCCCAGTACTATTTACTGGAGAGACTGTCCTTTCTCTAATGTATGCTCTTAGTGCCTTTGTAAAAAATCATTTGTCTGTAAATGTGTGGATTTATTTCTGGGTTCTCTATTCTGTTCCATTGGACTATATGTCTGTTTTTATGCCAGTACCATGCTGCTTTGGTTGCTATAGTTTTGTAGTATATTTTGAAGTCAGGTAGGATGATGCCTCCAGTATTGTCCTTTTTGCTCAGGATTGCTGAGGCTATTTGGGGGTATTTTATGGTTCCAGGTTTTAGTGGTTCTATACAAATTTTTAGGAGTGTTTTTTCTATTGTGAAGAATGTCATTGGTATTTTGATAAGGATTGCACTGAATCTGTAAATTCTTTAGGTCATTGGTTACTTTAACAATATAGATTCTTCTGAGCCATGAGTATGGACTGTCTTTCCAATTGTTTGTGTCCTCTTCAATTTCTTTTAACAATGTTTTGTAGTTTTTCTTGTAGTAAAATGTATTTTTTTTTTTTTTTTTTGAGTTGGAGTCTCACTCTGTCGCCCAGACTGGAGTGCAGTGGCCGCGGGCTCAGGCAATCCACTCACCTCAGCCTCCCAAAGGCGCGGGATTACAGGCTGAGCTACCGAGCCCGGCTGTAAAATGTACCTTTCATTAGTACTTAATCCCAGACTTATTTTTTCCTTTGGGCTAGTGTTTTCCAGTGAGGCTTGATGCATATATTTGTGCAACTCTTCTCAGGAATAATGAAACTTGAGAGAATTTTTTTTAAGCTGGGCATGGTGGCGTGTGCCTGTGGTTCCAGCTACTTGGAAAGCTGAGGTGGAAGGATCGCCTTAGCCCAGCAGGTCGAGGCTGTGGTGGCCATGAGCGTGTCACTACACTCTAGTCTGGGTGATAGAGTGAGACTCTAACTCAAAAAAAAAAAAAAAAAGAGAGAGAGAGAATTTTTGAAAATGAGATGCAGATATGCAGCCCTGATGATGGAATTTACAGTGCTGTGGTATGGCAGACTTTTTCTTTCAGTGGTTTTTTTTTTTTTTGAGTTGGGGTCTCACTTTGTTGCCCAGGCTGGAGTGCAGTGGCACACTCAGCATCGACCTGCTGGGCTCTGGCGATCCTTCCGCCTCAGCCTTCCAAGTAGCTGGAACTACAGGCGTGCACCACCATGCCTGACTAATTCAATAGCTTCTTTCTGAACTTTTTCTTTTTTTGTCATTTCATTAATAATTATTTACTTAAAACGGTTGAGACTTGGTGTTTGTCAACATTTCTTTCTTTTTTTTTTTTTACATTTGGCATGTACCCTGCTGTTTCTCTTTTTTTCATTTTTAACATTTATTATTATTATTTTTATTTTAAAGATGTGGGGGTACAATTCAAGATTAAAGTGCTAGCCGGGGGGAGCAAGTACATTTGAAAAATATAGTGTGCATGGTTTAAATAGGGAGGAATGGCGAGGGAGGAGACATATGAGCAGAGGTATAAAGATATGAGTTCTAGTGTTGACTTTTGGTTATGAACTTGGACAAGTTTTGTGGTTTCTTTTTTTAAATTCCTGTTTCCTTACCAAAATAAGTGTTCTTTTTGGAGGATGAGAATCCTCTCTTACAAAGGTTTGTATTTTCAGGCCCTAGCATATAATTCTGCTACATAGTAGACAGTCAACTAGTTTTGGATGAATGAAGAACACAGCAGTTTCCTCATCTGTAAACTGTGGCTTGGGCCAAATGATCTTCAAACGGGTCTTTTTACACTCTTATTACTGTAGTATTTATGAGTAACGGATGCTATTCCTTATTAAGGCTCATCTCCGGGTTTGAACCATGCTTGAGAAAGTGGTCTAACTCCACTACCACCCTGAAAGCTCTAGGGTCAGCGGGACCCTGTTCATATGGACATCTCTGTCCTCCAGCTCTTTTAGGACATAAGCAGTACTACTATGGAAGAAAGGAAACGTAATTTCCCATGCCTAGACCCTTTGCTGGGAAGGGCACGGAGTGACATGGGCACCACACCTGCCTCAGCCTTCTAGCAAGAAAACACCACAGCCTTCCCTGCCCCCAAAGAGCGCTATCCTCT